ATATGACTTCCCAAAAACAACATATTATATAAAGCAAATATAGATCGATGGCTGGTTTCACTATCATTTCGAGTATCTGTCTCTTGTAATTGTTGTTCTTTTGTAAAACGCTCACGTAACCAATGAATTTAACAATCCTCATCTAAAAAGAAGAATACAAAATAATTAATTAAAAGATCTAAAGTAGGAGAAATGAAAAATGTACTTGAAATTGTAACTGTGTTCTGAAATTTACTATTAGTACTGTAAATCTATAGTTCACATTACATATACCATAAATTTTTAATACTGGCAGTATATGTTGAAACAATGTATATCAGTTTGTATTAACTTTTTATTTTGGATGTATATGCTCATTTAGATTGACTATAGACAATTAAAAATAAAAACTAGATTTTACTTGACATTCCCATGAGTAATCCAATTTCTTTTCATGAATTTTCCTTCATTCGAATGTCTTTATATTCCTTCACTGAAGAATTATACAAGTGAGGATATTCTCTTACAGTATCTATTAACTCATCGCTTCTTTTTTTTACATTTTCTTTTTCAAACTAATCTGACTCATAATTTGTATCATCGGGAATAATTTCACAATAATATTCATCTTCCATTTTTAATCAAAATATCAGATTATTAATAAACGGAATAATATCAAAGAAAGATATAGAAACTGTTGAAGAAAAAGAAATATATTATGTTATTCGTAAATAATATTTTTCGAATTATTATATATTAGATTAGTAGATACGTACATTACATATATTTTCACTGAAAAGAGATTGTACTTACCTTAATGTGTATATTTACATATATCTTTATTTCATCTTTATTACATATATCTATATTTCATCTTTATTACATATATCTATATTTCATCTTTATTACATATATCTATATTTTCTTACACGAGCTCTCGATTTTGTAAACTGTCACAGATTATCGAGAAATATTTATTACATTAATATCGTGAATAATAAACTAATTAAGCAAGCATTCAAGCAAACACATTTTCAATTTATTAAGCAGCCTCTTCTGTTTGGCGCTTGAATAACGAAAAAAGTCTCTGATTGGCTGACTTAAAACTTAATGCTTAAGATTTCATCCTTATGGAATTTATCAACGTTGCGTTTTAAGTTTTAAGTTTTAAAATGGCATTCTTAAATCTCCACCAAGTCTATAATTGGCCACTTCGCTTACTGCTTAAATCTTACACTGCCTTAAGTTTTTTGTGTCCCATGGTCCTTACGAAATTTTGTGTGCAACAGCCCTTAGAACATATACCACTGCAATAGACCCTAAAAAGAGAGACTCGCCAATTCGTCACGTGAACCTTTGAATAAACGCCTCATGATTAAAAATAAATAGTACGGAAGCTAGAGATATCTGTTTCATTAATAATGTGATTCTCTTTTACAATTTTACATAAATGTGATAAATTAACTTACTAAAAATAGTCAGAACAACAGACAACAAAGCTGCTTGAACATAAGGTATTCTGTCAGATGGTACATGGAGCATAGATGTGCGATCCAGACCCCAACCAATTAGAATCACCTATAATCAAGTGATGAGTTGGCGTGTCTCTCTTTAGGATCTCTACACTGCAAGCAAAATTGCTTTAAGGGTATATCTACATAAACTTGCATAGTCGCATAAATGTATACATAAAGAAAATTATCCAATCACATTGGAAATTATTATGGATCAACGCGATGCTGCAAACGCTTTGAAGTTTTTTAATTAGTCAATTTATAAAATTCTTTCTTCTAATTGATCCATTAAATGCTTCAAAGCATTTGTAGCGAGATTTTGACCACAGCCAAAATCGCACGTAAAAAGTACATTCAGGAAGGCGTTATTCGCGCTATTTAGCGCTACAAACTGTTTACGAAGCTGCAGATAGCACTAACAAATACGATCATGACTAATGATAGCGTGTTACGTCACAACTGTTATCAACGCTATTCCTTCCGAGGTAATATATTGGTAGCATTAGCGTTTACAGATCCGTAAACGACTCTACCGTTGGTAATGTTTAACATTCGTCAAAGTTTGAAGGAATTTTGTTCTTGAGTGGCACCAAACTTTTCTCTCTTAGAAGAGTAAACGTAACGAATACATAATGAATTTCAAATTTTATCATAATGAATGCAATCTCAATTTTAATCTCTGCTGATGGCTTGCCACTAGGAATGAACATAATTCTTGCTTGTGTATCATCTTTAATTTTTCAAAGTTTTTGCAAAATTCAACTTGTGTATTTGATTTCATTATAAATGTGAAAGTGAGAGGTATCTTATCGGCAATTTTTTAATTCCTGTGTACGGAAAAAAGTTACTATAGCGCGGTAGAGTATTCCACTGCAGATACTTCATAGAAGTCCTTATTAGATGTAGATACGCTTTTTCTTTTGAAATTGATAACGAATGCTCAAGAATTTTTCCTTTTAACTGATTAATTTACTTAATGTAACTATTAATTTTTTTATTTAGTTTACATTGGTTGCGTTCAGCAGAACACAACAGTTTTGCAATCATTTTATGATTCTCTGCTGAGATAGAACTTCCTCTTGATCTAAAAGCCAATCAGCGCGAAGAAAATTTCCAATAGTTGCAAAATAAACGTTCCGCTGAACGCAACCATTCTCTCCGGCCTAGCGGCAAGCTATCATAGAGATTGCAATTGAGATTGAGCTCTGTTATTTTTAGATTTTATTATTAGCTATTGTTTCAGCTTCCTTGTGCTTATCTCCCAGATAGTTAAACAAGATTTAGCATATGGAACAAATTGATGCATTGCATGTATTGTTTTCAACTTGTCGAAAATTTGCTGTCATTGGAATCTAATGTGAACTGAATTAGCATCAGGAGAGCAAATAGATTTCATGAGTTTACGAAATTGTAAGAGTATACATTGAGAAATAATAAACTCGTCACGTTGACAGCAAACTGACGGCATGCACGCATGATAACAACTTGTCAGCAGTTTGCTGAATTCTAAGAAAGATTTTACGTGACATCAGAACAACAGTTTGTGGAAACACCTTAGCTTTAGTTTGGTGAAATTGAATGCGGAATAAATGACAGCAAAACATATTGCCTTTATTTGGCTATTTGAAAATGAAGCGCGTGTCGTTATGAATGTACTTAAAATAAAGAATGGGCCCTTCCTTCGCTCATTCTTATGAGAATATTTTCTTCGTCTCTCCGGTTTTAACACAACCTTTAATATTTATTTCGATTGCAACAGAATGAATTTTTAATATTATATGAATACTATCTTGATCAAAAAGTTCCCGGAATTCATTCAGAAAATTCAAAATACAAGTTTTATTCATCAAAAGTGATATTGTCCCCTTCAAAGTACTCCCCATCGACTGCAACGCACTTATGCTAGCGCTTGATCCAGTTCTCGAAACATTTCTGGAACTCTATTATCGGTATAATCGTCTTCGATTTTTCCATTACCTACTTTCGGCTGTTAAAACGCGTTCCCCGTAATGGTTTTTTGACTCGATCGAACAGAAAAAATCGCAGGGAGCCATATCAGGTGAATTCGATGGCTGTTGGATGGTATTCATTTCGTTCTTGGTCAAAAATTCATGATGGCACTGTGCGACGGTGCGTTATCATGTTGCAAAATCCACGAATTGTAAAAAATCGAAAATACAAAGGTAGATGTACTCAAGACGGCGTAACTTTTACAAATGTCAAGCTATGATGATAAAATTTGGTGAGAATGTCAATGATAGATGTGGCAACCTAACCAAAAAAACAGAACTCAAATCAGCTGACTCAGAGTATCATCTGGTGATAATTCCAGGAACTTTTTGATCAAGGTGGTATACTTTTATTTTACCAGTCAGAAATAATTTCTCGAAAAAACATTGTTTCGATGTCGAAAATAAAAGTCGAAAGTTTTCGAAATTTCTATTGATTTCGATGAATTTTTGGCTCCAATTTCAATTAATTTTCGAGTTGGAAATAAAATCTTGAATTGATCTAGTCAGCATAAAATCTAGTACTAGTGTCACTAATGCAATAAGTAAATTCGACAAGTAGTCTCACTAATAGCGTAATAGTGGAGAAAATTTCATTAAAGTTTCATTGAAATTTTATTGTGAAAATAAATATTATTGATTATCATCCTATTTCAGAGGATACACGAAAAGTTAAAATAAAATAAAAAAAAATTTATGAATTCGAGAACTAATTTTATGATGTACCCATGCGCGATCATCCATCCGAATTCGAACTTCCACTTACCCATGCTTCATTTCTGTGATCGTATGGGAATTGCTCGTTTGAAGAATCGTGAACACTTATAATGCTGATGGATGTATAGTTATAACATATCTGTTCAAAGATGTTGTGAAAGAGGTGGAACACATAAAAAAAATATAATTAATGTTAAATATAGTAGTAATGTACAAATGATGATAACAACTTATTT